GTGTGTATGTGTGTGTATGTGTGTGTATGTGTGTGTATGTGTGTGTATGTGTGTGTATGTGTGTGTAAGTGTGTGTATGTGTATGTGCGTGTGCGCGCGCGCGCGCGCGCCCGCGCGCGTGTGTGTGTGTTCCATTTGGATCCTCATCTTGTTTGTGGTTTTATTGTTTGTGTTCAGTGAAAAAAACAACAGGTGTTTCACGCCCCCATCAACACAATGGATCGTTTAGAAGGCGGGCTTCTATCTTACCCGTCAAGGCCAACCTGGGATCAAAGGGAAACAGTGACCCAGTAGAAAGACAGAAACGCCGTTTTTTAATTGTTATCTTAATGTCATTATTGTTATTTTTCCTGGCACTGCTCATGCTGCTAAAGTTTGAATCGAAATTGAATTAAGTTTAAATTACCCTGACAACATATAAAGTCCAGCCACTCCCTGTCGAGATTTTAAAGCGCATCTAGCCATACATCTGTGTCATCATCATCATCATCATCATCATCCTCATCATCATCATCATCATCATCATCATCATCATCATCATCATCATCATCATCATAATAATCATAATAATAATAATTTAAAAAGAACATAAATTTTGTATCTTTAAAGAAAAAAAAAGTGGAGTGGCAACATGAAGGTGAAGACGGTGTGAAAAATGAAAATAATATAGCTGATATTTTGGTCAATGAACTATGAAACACAGAAGGAAAAGAACTGTTCATGGACAAATAATGTAAGCGCTACATTTTCCCCACGGAAAATATTTTTGATCTAACTCCATACCCCTAGGTTGAATTTAACTCGTACATACAGTTGTAAAAAAAAACCCAACTATTCACGACAATCTGTCTCTGCCCAAGCAGCTACAATTTCAGCAGGCACGAAGGCAACGGCCCAATTTCATTGTTCTTCTTTGACCATGTCTTCTTGGAAGCAGAGACAGGCTCTCCATCCACCCCCTCACCCCCAACCGCCCTCTCTCTCTCTCTCTCTCTCTCTCTCTCTCTCTCTCTCTCTTAATCATTCTCTCTTTCGTTCTCTGTTAATCCTTATCTGTCTGTCAGTATGTCTAACTGCCTGTCTTCTTCAGCTTCTCTCTTTCTCCTTCTCCCACTTTCATTGTATTTCTCTTCTCATCTATATGTGTATTTGTGTGTGTGTGTGTGTGTGTGTGTGTGTGTGTGTGTGTGTGTGTGTGTGTGTGTGTGTGTGTGTGTGTGTGTGTGTGTGTGTGTGTGTGTGTGTGTGTCGTTTGTTTAAATTTAAAAGGCAAGTAAAAGAACCCAAAACCACAGTATTTATCTATTAGTGGACAATGTTTATTTTTCGTGATATTCTTACTACAATTGTGTCCGCTACAATACTAAAACGACTTTAAAGACATGTAGATTAATGTCAAAGCATATAAATGAAAGCGGAGAAGATTATATCTTTGTTTGAGGAAAAAGCTATAATTGGCATGTAGTGGAACGTCTAAGTATAAACGTAGCCACTTATTTCCCAGTTAAACAACCTTCATATCGACCAAGACCCCAATTAATATATTATTTTCACTACCGCAGGTAAGACAAAAGAACTGCCAACGGAAAAAAAGGAATTTGGATAATGGCGAAAATTGTGACTCAAAAGTTGGCTCTCTGAAATTGTAAACATTCATACTATACTGTTTCAACAATTTTCCCAGCAAAAAATGTCATTTGCGTCAATTAAGGCCAGTTATTTTTTTTTCCGGATCATATATAATAAGTCAGCCTGCGGCCTAAACCACAAAGTTCTCTCCAATGTCAATCTTCTGGATAATCTTCTTGTAAAAATCTGCAACTTCTGGCCGGTGCCAAACCTTAAATTCGGATGTTACATTAATCTGAAGATATCCCGGGGGGGACGGACTATATGTGCCCCAGGCTGCTGCCCCCATAGGCACAGTGTGAGTTGGGTTGCCGGTCTTGGCAAAGTTGGTCCACATTTCTACCACTTGTTTAGAGACCGCAATGTCGGCCGCAGAAGGGACAAAGTCTTTGTCGTAGAACGGTTTGTGCTGAATATCTAAGACGAAGCGGATCTCATCACCGTGTACAGCAGACACCCACGGCGCCATCTTACTGAAGCTTGGTCTGTGGCTGAACTCGTACAGGTAGTGTCTCTTTTCTGCTGCATGCATGGCTAAGTTCTTGAGTTCAAGGATGGTAGGCCCAATAAAAGTGAAATCACTCGCCATGCCCACAAGTTCTGCTGTACGCGTATGCTCATCGTGTCTGTTTGTGGTGTAAGTTGATTCCAGAACTTCGGAGAGTTGCTTCTCTGTAAGATTCGGAAATTGTACAAGAAGATAACGAATAGAATCAGGTAAAGATAAGCTCTTGAACAGAGGAACAAGACTTCCATATTCATCAAAGTTAAATCCATTTATTGTTTCCAGATGGTTGAATTCTCCGCGAGCTAAAAGCCTGATTGGTAAGTCAGGCAAAAAGCCAAAGGTGCGCTCTACTCTGGGGGCAACTGTGATCCACGAACCAGACGCTTTTCCTATACCGGCCGAAATATTAAGCAACATTTTGCCATCAGCTTGTTGAAGACAAAAGAGTAAATCTGTGGAATTGTTTAAATCGCTGCATCCGACTCCGGTGCCAATCAGGCGAGCTACCATGCGAGCAGAGACTTTATTCGCAGGGTGCTCAGCCGCCCATGGACTTAAAGACACCCCACTCTGCATGATGGCTCTCTGGAACAGACCCTTTGCCAAGGGAGATAGTATTAAAAGAGAAATGCTAGAGGACCCAGCGCTTTCCCCGAAAACGGTCACCTGATTAGGGTCACCACCAAATGCCGCAATGTTACCCTTAACCCATTTGAGTCCTGCTATCAGATCCAACATCCCATAGTTCCCCGGCATTGCGTCGTCTTCGGTTGATAAAAACCCTAGCACATCTAGTCGATAATTCACGGAGACCACGATGACACCCTGAGTCGTTAAAGGGCTGACGTCATAGTGAGACGCAGCGCCCACCATATAACCACCACCGTGAATCCAAACCATCACCGGTAGAGGAGAAGATGTGGTTTTCGTCACTGGGGTGAAAACGTTGAGGTATAAACAGTCTTCACTTGACGGAGTGTACCCATTTCCAAACGGGTAATTTTCAATATCTACCTGAAGACATTCGTCACCAAAAGTTAGGGCGTCTTTCACATCAGTCCACTTTTTAGGGGGCTGCGGGGGCTTGAATCGCAGAGACGCTGTGGGATAGACAGCTTTGTAAGTGATAGAAACAATGGAAACGTGGGTGAAGGGATGAGTAGTGTGACGCATACCACTAGATCTAGATCTATTAGTCTGCGCGCGCGCGCGCGTGAAGGAGCACTGATGGGATTGGGCTTTGCTGATAATAGGTCAGGCGTTTTATTTAGCTTCGTTCTGTTTTAGAAAGGGGGGGGGGGTTTGTTCATTGTGTGTGTCACGAAAGCGTTTAAGAAAGCGCTAGCCCGCGTGTGTCTGTGTGTATCTGTTTTTCTGTTCTTTTTTTAAATAAGTGTTTTACGGCGCTCGCAACTGCATAAGGTCATATGAGCGCGCGAGACGCACCTAACATTTTCAGTTGGTAGGAAATTTTAAATTTTGGCCGGGTGGCGGCTGAAGCCTACTCTTATCGATTTTTGACCACCAAGGAATCTTTAACGTGCGCAACTTGCACACGGGCCCTCCGAGATTTTTCACCCCTGTCCGAGAAGGCTATGTGTAGATCTTTCCTACCAGAAGATCAGGGGTGTGGCTGAAAAACAGCAGGAAGAAGGGGCCAAGGAGAAGCAGTAGAAAGGCTGCAGAAAGAGCCAGGAGCCCAGAGGTGGGGGCAAAGGAGGTGAAGGGGTGGGGGCAGAAAGTGGAAATGAAAGCAGACAACAGAACATTGCTAGAGAGCCAGAAAGGAGGTGAAAGGAGACAATTTTAGAAAATAAAATTTTTCGGTCGCTACCCGGATTCGAACCCGGGACCTTTGATTGAGAGGCCAACACCTTAGCCTCTAGGCCACGAGAGCCCCCTGTTACAAATCTAATTTAGTTGACCAATAATGGCTCGAAAAAAGGACAACTGTAATAAAATAAATAATTTCTCTTTAAAAAAAAAAAATTCCATAAAACTGTCGCTGGTTAAGGCAAAGATCGTATCCAAGACACACCAACGCCTGAAAATGGCATCCTCAAAAACGTAATTAATATAAAAAGCACGGTTCATTTTTTATGTCACCATCTGTGCAGGTGAAGATTTTTTTTGTTTCTTAAAAAAGGGTAACACCATTTTAAATAAAAACTGTAGAACAATCTTTGGTAATCGTAAGCGAATTAGATACTCACCAAGGGCAGAGATAAATATAATTATATCCTCAATGATAGCATTATGAGCACAACAAAGAAGGTAGAGAAAGTAAATATATATTAATGACTTTTTACAATCAATTTAGAATCAATAAAGAGGCAAGGGTGAAATACCTGTTGGTGGTTTGGCGTACTGGATGCCTAAAAAGTGAACCACTGGCGTGTTTTCTGTCCTAAATTCCACCTTCCCCCTGACAGTCCCGTAGCTGGTGTTGGCCATGAGGTAGACGTCATCAGTACTCCCGTGTCCTCCTTGTCCTCCCCCGAGAATACCGCTACTGCTCAACATGGACGTGTAGAGAGCCTGGAGTAACCATACAGCCGCCATCGTGAATGGTGAACTCTTGCGTGCTTCCTACTTTAGATCAACTTACAGTAATGGCGTCTGAACTCTTCAGATCCTTTTAAGTTATCAGGAGAAGGCCCATTTCCCTCTGTTTCACCC